ATTATTATTATTTTGCTATTGTTTGTTTTTTAAGCAGATGGTTCTATAATTTTGAAAACATAGTGTAATTGACCATATTTAAATTAATAGGTAAAGCAATCTATAAAAATCAAATGCGTCAAAGAAATACACCCTAATACATACATTGTAATCCAAGCTATCCTTTGTTAAATCTAATTTCAGGTGTCCAAAAGTAATGATTTTGTCCTGTTTCTGCCATTGCCTTTCCAACTGATTCATTTTTTCATAGGTGTTATGCGCATGTTCCCTTTTCTGAACGGTCAGTTCGCCCAGCTGTGACTGTGAATATGCTTGTCTTAAGCTCATCATCGAATGATGCAGTCTTTCGGAGCTACAATCCAGCATGTCAAGCAGTTCTGTGTTATTTTAGTTATTAATGGTAATGGAAATGTATCCTTTTAATGAGTGTTTTTGTGAATATAGCCAGTGATCTCAGGCTGTGGGGAGGGTAACACACTCCTGAAAATGCATGGCCAAATTTTTCTTTTTTTTTTTTTTTTTTTTTTTGACTGTCTCCTGCATTACTCCACCCTCCCTTCTCCAGCTCAGCTAGCTGTCACCGGTCATTAACACAACATTAAGTGCTCTGTGAATTCATAGCTCCTGCAACTCCTTGCTACTTAATGCCTATAAAAGAGTGCTGCTATAATGACACACATACACAGACACAGAAGGCTCACATTTAACTACCAGGGGCAGAGCAAAGGTGTCTCCTGCGCATCTGTTAAATCAGAGCTATTAGAGCGAAGTCAGTGATTACTTTCACTGGGCTTACAAAATGAGCATTTTGCAAAGAATGGCTGTTAGTGTTTGCCAGGTGTTTCATCAGCAAAACTGTTTGCAGTTCAGTTTCAATATTGATGGTAAAGTACAGTAAATGTTGTGTGTATTTGGACTTGTCCACACTAACAAATTGTTGTTTTCTTCACTGGTAATTGTCCACCTACAATCTCAATTCTTTGGCAAAAGAATATCCTCTATTAAAACTTTCTGAGCTGAAGAGTTTCTGCTTCTCGTGTGAAATAATGATGTAAGGTGCCTGTGCACAAATTTATCCACATCTCCACTAACAAATCTCCTTAGGCAAGTTGGAAAAAAAAATCAATGGTTTTTGTTGCCTCACGCAACCTTCTTAAAAAATTTGGCTGAACGTCTGACTACTGTTAATCTTTCAATCAGATAGTAGAGTTCTCTGACCAAGCAGATGATTCCTTGGCACAGTACCAAACACTGGACTTCTCAGAGATATACCAAAAATCCAGACTCTGTTACTTTTTGATATTTTTACTTTGTAAGCCCCATGTTCTTCTGATTTGTCTCATTCAACTGTAATAAAAATATACCAACTTCTCAACATTTTCCACAAGCTGATACATTAAAAGTTTTGTGACTCAGTATTTTTTTAATTATTATTTTATTGTATATCATATAGGCGAAAATAGCTCCAAGATGTGAGTCTACAAGTTGATTTCTTCCTTGCCTCTTTCCTTGTTGTCCTTTCCTATAAATTATCATTACTTTTTCCTTTAGAAACATGTTGATACAGGCTACATAAATCTATTCTGTATTCTTTAATGCATAGTCTAAACATATTCAGTTTCAGCCTTGAGCTGTTTTATTCTCAAATTTTTAAAGGAAAAAAAAAATAGACGCAATGATCAGAGAATTCCATTACCTTTAAGGTGACAGATGATGATGCCCTCTCTTTTCAGGGGTCAAAGAAATGTCAGATAGAGACATTTGAGTTGAATAATGTAAAGGACTGGAGGAAAAAGCAATAAAAGAGAAATTTCTTGGTGTGACAAGGACATGCTCTTTGGCAGACTGTCCCTGTGTTCTAAATGCATGCGACGAGGATTCTTTAATGGTGAGGAAATTACATAGACACTGAAGAACACAGAAAAATGTCGATACCCTCAGTAATCAAATGTTTTGGACCTACACAAGCAGAAATGTGGCAGGTACCCTCAAGCTCTCTGTAGCAAAACAAGAGCCAGCAAATCAATATGTTGTCGGTAAACTATCAAATTACAAACACCAATCTCTTCGAGCACACTGGTGTAAACAGCGTAGAAATGCAAACCGCTAAAGGGATGAGGCGAAAGTGTGTCACAGAGTCTGTTATCTGCTAAATAACCAGGGTTCCTGTAATAGTTTGACTTGTGTTTGACACAGTGGTGACACTGAATATCTACTGAGTAGGAAATAAAAAAAATGTATTTCATTATTATGTGAGCCAATGAATTTCTGGACAGATTGTGGATGGGCATTATTGAAGACGCCGCAGGCCCCTTTCTGGCGTGAAATATGGTGGTCATTTGGCTAGACGAGAGGCGGTGAGGACCCCCTCCTAGACCAGAGCAGACGGGTGCAGAGGAGCCTAGGGCCGGCTGTATTAATGAACAGGCAGTGCTGAAAGGGACAGGTTCCTGTAATGCTGATGAATGGTCATTACAGAGCAGAGATGGGAGAAGAGAGCGGAAGAGGGGGGAGAAGAGCGAATTGAAGTGGGCACTGAGGGAGCTGCGTTGAGGAAAAAAGGCTTTAATTTGCACCTCAGATTTCTGTAAACTCATTTATCATGTCAGCAGTTTCACTGTTCATCATGTATCTTCCCACTCCACCCTGTACATGCCCTCACTTGGTTTGAACCTTCCTGTTTTCCTCTGAATATGTTCCTTGCAACAAATAGTTCCATCATCTATATTAAAATCAGATGGTACACATCCATCCCGTTCCAGTCATTTCACATCATTTTATAGAGTAATCGAGCAGAATTTTGGATCTTGACTGGTTTTTAGGGCTACATGCAGAGAGCCGATATTTCTCCTCTGCTCTATTGAGCCTGATTGAGCAGGTGGGGCTTTAAAGGTCAGAGCAAGGAGGAAGCACCAGGAGATGTATGCACACAGGAAACATGGACTGACTAGAGGTCCACTCCTTCCACTCTAGATCTCATTAACTTCTCTCCTACAGGTAATTGTATCTTTGGCTTGAGAATTTTTTAAGAAACAGTTCTTTTAACCAAGCTGCTATATGTTAGCAGGGTTTAAAGAATATATATTTTTTAAGGAGGATATATAACATAAGAAAAGTCTCAAAAAGTGTTGCATAGATAATTTCTACATTTTAGAGGTTCTATTAATGAGGATATTAGTGATTACTGAACATTAAATTCTCATAAGTGTTTATTGTTAAATTTGTTGCTGATTTAGACAAGCAACATCCATGTAACTATGCAGAAGAGAGTCTGCTGAGTTACACTGATGAGCTACAACTCATCACTCTACTGAATAAGTCAGTGATCACCAGGAATGGAACAAGTCTTTGGATTTTTTTGTGCCACTTTTGCAATGACATTGAAGATAGAACATCCTTGTCCTTTTCTAAACTATCCCAGTGGATTCAGGAGTTGAGAGAGACACCTACAAAAGCCCATTAATGTACCAATGTTGATGTCATTGGACAGTCTGTCATAAAAGATCAAAATGTTTACTTCCCTAATGGCAATCTTAGATATTGTATATGTGGCGAACAGAAAAGTTGCAGCTGATAAGGCAGGTTGATACAAGCAGCACTATCTGCTCAAATACTTTTGTAAAGTGACACAAACATATTTTAATTGAGAAAGTGGCAATTTTTTTTAATGATCTCTTATGAAAGTGCATATATAACAGTCTGTTATTTTAGCTGATTTTTGTTGTCTGAAACATCTATCCCCAGATACAGCACACCAACTGATAATGTCCAAACTTCACTGCTATCGCTCTCAAACAAAAGATTTGAAAGTATGATTGCTCCTGGTTGTGTCTATCTGCCTGAGTTGTGACTTATCAATCTGTAAAAAGCTTAGATCACTCAGAATTAAGGGTTTGGATTTATTTATATTTTTTGTTTACTTTTCAGTTGTGTAAAGGCATTGAAGATTATATGTTCCTGTACTTTTCGAGACAAGATAATATTCAAAAACCTACAAAAGCTGGAAAGCAGTTTATTGCTAAGCTTTTTATGTTTAATATTTGCAACCGTGACCTTGTATTCTACGGAGACAGTTTCACTTTTTGTTGTCTCACAAGACAGATCTACCAACCTGTTTGTAAAAGTCGAGTATGCCTGTGTGTTTTCATCCGACACATTTATTTTAAAAGTTCAAGCAGTAAATCTCCATTTAGAACAATTGGATCACAATTGATCTTTGTACCAGTGTCCAATTACTGTATTAGTAAATTTTTCTAAACACAAGCTCTTAAGAAAAGCTTCTTTGTGTTTGCCATTTCCCCTCCCAGTTCTCAGTGATTCCAACCAAATATTAATGCTGTATTTCCATCTTGATTTGGTGCACTGAATTAACTCCCTGAGGCCCTTTTGATGATTCTGATGCTCATCCAACACACTTTCTGGGTCACACCTGCAAGAAATGGCCTACAGCATATCTCAGCTCTGTCTGCACACGCAGTGACTCTCCAACGCTTGGCTGCCATGTTTACTGTCTCTGTCTAATTGTAATTCAGCAGTGCATAATCTGAAATTTGTTACACACTGTAGTTTTAATGCATCAACTCAGTGCCCAGTATCACTTAGCATAGATTGCACATAGCAGTGCAACCACGGTAATTACTCAGTTATTGCTGATGCAACATATTCTACAGCTGTGAGCACATTTAGAGAACAAGACGAGGAAGTGGCACTTTTCTGTAACCACACTCAGACAGTTGTTTATTGTTCCACGGAAAGGAGACATTCACGTATCCTCAAAGGATGAATAAGCCTCTTCACTCAGTGGGCCAAAGCATTTTTGTTAATGTAGCCAGAAAATTCATATTTAATGCCTTGGGTGAAGGGAGTGATATGTGCAAAAACTCTCTGCAGCTTAGCTAATATTAACAGAAATAATTTGGGAAAAAGAAAACATCACAGCTCTGTCATAAATGATTACTAATCTGCCATGTACAATTCTCTCTCTCTTTCTCTTTCTGTAGTGGGAGGAAGTGAGTGGCTACGATGAAAACCTTAACACCATAAGGACCTACCAAGTGTGCAATGTCTTTGAGCCCAGCCAGAACAACTGGCTCCTCACAACCTTCATCGATCGACGTGGAGCGCAGCGGATCTATGTGGAGATACGATTCACAGTGCGCGACTGCAGCTCCATTCCAAATGTCCCCGGGTCCTGCAAGGAGACGTTTAATCTGTACTACTATGAAACTGATTCTGTCATTGCCACCAAAGGAACAGCTTTCTGGATGGAGGCCCCCTACCTCAAGGTGGACACCATAGCTGCAGATGAAAGCTTTTCTCAGGTGGACTTTGGCGGGCGCCTAATGAAAGTCAACACAGAGGTGCGCAGCTTTGGCCCACTGTCGAAAAACGGCTTCTACTTGGCCTTTCAGGACTACGGTGCCTGTATGTCTCTGCTGTCAGTCAGGGTGTTTTTTAAGAAGTGCCCGAGTGTGGTCCAAAACTTTGCAATCTTTCCAGAGACCATGACAGGGGCAGAAAGCACCTCCTTGGTCATTGCCAGAGGAATCTGCATCCCAAACTCAGAGGAAGTAGATGTCCCGATAAAGCTCTACTGTAACGGAGATGGAGAGTGGATGGTGCCTATTGGTAGCTGCACATGCAAGGCTGGGTTTGAACCTGACAATGGAAATGTTTGCCGTGGTAAGAAAAAGTGCATTCCTTCATTTAAAAAATGGTTTAATTCCTGCAGTACTTTGCAAAAGTGTTTAAACTCAGATTTTGTTCATGTTTTGTTATGTTGCCAACAAAACTTTCCATGTGTTTATTAAAATTTCAGGCAGGAGATTTCCAAAATATTATTAAGGATACTAACACTTTTACACCTGTATGCAGAGATAAAATCCAGTGAAATCAATTGCTGTATTTAGTAATGTCCATCTGTGTGTAATTCAATCTCAGTACCAGTTATCTTCTGTTGAGGCATCAGAGGTTTTCTAGAGAACAAAATGCATCCTGAATAGCAAGAAACACATTAAACAGGTAAAGATAAAGTTGAGGAAAGTCAGGAAGCAGGGTTTGAACAGCTCATGAAGAACTGTTTAATCTCTGAAAATGGTAAGAGTATGCGAGGGTTGGCCATTGTAAAACAGTGACAAGAAAGTCAAAAATACATACCTAAGGTGGGTGAATCTTTTGACAGGACAACTGTTAGTCATGCAGTCTTTAAATCTGGTGTTTTTTGAAAGGTGGCTGGAAGAAAGACGTCAGAAGTCATCCGTTGTTGACTATAAGCAAACGGCAAACATGCTTTGATGTTCAGGGTAGATGAGATTTATTTCCAAATGTACTCCTCACTTTACTAAAAATCACATTAGCACCACATCCTAATCTTTAACGAATGTCAGCCTTTTTGTACAACCTACTTCACAGATGGTGCGAGCTTTGAATTTGCCTCAGCAAAGTGTGTGAAAATGAAGTTACAAGGAGTAGATAATAACTGGAATCCCAGGTGAAGATTAATGTGGGTTTTTGGTTCAAGTTTTCAAGTTGTTGGTGAGGGGTTTTTGTATGTGCCCTCCGTTGCACCTCCAGATTCTGCACCTTGTTATTTCAACACTCTCACAAACACACATTCAAACAGAGAATTTGCTCAAGGTGTCTGGCGATTATATGGGTGGCTTGGGGCTTGCAGTATTGGTTTAGCCTGCCTCGGGATGTTAGTTGGAGAGTATGTGGAGCCCTGATAAGATTGATTGACGCCTATCTGCTGTGATCAATAAACAGATATAAGAATGCCACATATCTACAAAGCACCTGGTGTGCGACTGTGTTCACTGTATCCTTCCAGAATTATTTTGTTTCCTAAGCAAAATAACCCCTCATACTTATTTACATGTTTGAGTGGCTCTTTATATGGAGAGTAAGCTTTATGCAATGTCATGATGTAGTTATTTAAATCAGGAATTTTGTAGTAAAAAGATGTTATATATGTAGAATATATTTATTCTTGCCAAATTCCTTTTTATTTTTCATTTTCAGAATTGTTTTTTTAAAGCTTTTAAAGAACAGAAAACCACAGATTAGGTTTGTTTGCCAAAACGTTATTGTGCACTTTTTATTTTGGAGTCTTTGTTGTATAATGCAAACATGTTTGTACAGATAAGGTTGCCCCAGTATATTTAGAGCGATAAGCTTGCCCCAGTATATTTAGAGCTCCAAAATCTCTTTGATATCCTTAGACCATCTGATGTTGTTTTGCTGAGTTCACGGAGCTAGTTGATTTTGTTCAGCCCATAGTTTTCTCTTGCAGCAATAAGGGCTCAGGTTTGAATCTGAGCCTGGGGTATTTCTGCAAGGATATTGTATGTTCTATCTCTGAAGGTGTGGTTTCTCACTGGTTGCTGAATCTTTCTACCATGGTCCAAAACTATGACAAGGTTAATTGGTTTCTCCCTTAGGTACAAATGTGTGTGTGGGTCGTTGTTTATGTCTGTCTGTATGTCACCTTGTAATGGACTGGTGACCTGTCCAGTAAGTACCTTGCCTCTCACCCAATGCCTGCTTTAGAAAGGTAACCACACCCCCACCACCCTGCTAGAATAAACGGCTATAGACAATGGATTTATTGTTCTATCAAGCACCATGATAGATAGAAAATTACATATTCCTTATGTGGAGATCGGGGGAGTTATCACTGCACTGCTATAGTTTTATTCTAATCTGACTAAAATACTAATAAAAAAAACCTCCCCCTTCCACATAGCAAATGTGCAATAAAAACAATATACATTTAAAATGAAGAGTGGTCTGCCTATCTTTGTCACTCATAAGCATCTTGCTCTCTGGAGATTTGCATGAAGTCTGTTTCAGTCTCATCCCACTGAGAGTACCCCTCCAGCAACAGCAGTCACTCCCTTCTTACACTCTGCAGTATGTTTATGGACTTGTAATCAATTATTAAAAATGTATCATGAAAATACTTCAGCAAGTGGAGTACTGAGGGACACCAGTCAACTGCTGTGGGTGTGCAGAGTGCTTTATCCGTTTCTTTCTCTTTGGTATAAATGCAAAAAATGAGTATATATTTGTCCATCTATCCATCCATTTCTGGTGAGTGATCAGGTACACCCTGAACAATTCATCGGGTCAAGTCTATGGCAATACAGACTGAAAATCAGGCACTCGCATTGATTAGTACCACTAAGTTAATGCATGATCTTTTGTTGTTGTTTTTTTCTTTAGTTATTATCGAAGGAAGAAAAAAATACACACAGAAATCCAATGGCATACATCTAAAATATGCACATTTCACAAAGCTGTCAATGGTGCTGAATATTGCTTTGGACACAAAGCAATATTAGTTACTCTTATTTGAGTTCTAAAGAGCTCAGATAAAAAATTAAACTAAAAAACTGAGAATGTGTTGCTTCTGTTTTGACCACTGACAATTGAGTATTTTGAAGTATTTGTAGCATAATTTACTACACAAGCTGTTACTTTTTTTCACAAAATTTGAACAATGCTATGCAGCTAAAATACAGGTTTCTGCCAATGGGTTTTAAAAGGCTGGACAGTTGCGTGATGAAGACAGCACAAGCTCGAGAGCGAGACGAAAGTGTTATTGAGAGCAACAACAAAAGAGAGTCTGAGGAAGTGTGTGAGGCCAGGGATGCCTGCGGGATATTATCGGAGGGCATGCACAAAAAACATCACCGCACCTGACCCACATGAACAGAACCACGTGCCCAATGCACATCATGCACAAAATCAGCACAATGAACCTGACCCATACAAATACAGGCAACATGCCCACAAAGCACAGAAACAGTCACGTCACACCGCATAACTGACGGTCATTTCCTGACATACACAATTATGACATGCCAGTGCCATGTGCATAGCACATAAAAACAGCGCATCTATGCAAGGCCCAACACGCATGGTATAATGTTTGCGGCTTATATTTAGTTACTCTTAATTACTCTAAGTATGGAAATATCTACAGCAACAGTTCACTGTGGAAAAGTTTAATTTTCATTGAAATTTTTTTCAAAAGGAAAAAGACAACTCTGTTAATGTTGAGTTTTAAAACAATAACTTGCTGAAATAAACATAAGATTTGAATGTTGGCTGACCAGTTAATAGGAAAGTGACTGTGTCTAAATGGACAATGACAGAATTAGACTGCAAAAGAGGAATACATTCAATGCCTAATCAAGATGCAGTGTCTTATAGAGGAAAACATACCTTCTGTCCTTCTTAAATGTAGTACAAAAACACATGTTGGTACCTGTTTGCACTTTTTTCACATATTAATTAGTGACATTTAGTGTGATGGGTATTTGTGGCACCTGCTGTCAGCTAGACATAGAGGCCATGTCGCGATGTGCCGTGCAACAATGGTGCCAGCATGCCACACTCATTATCAGCTCCCACAGAAGCCATTTGGGTATGCCCTTCTCTTTTCTGCCTCTGCCTTTCCCTTGCTCTCTCTCTCCTTCAGCAATGTAAGCAATCTGCTAAATATTTTATCACCTCTCTGTTAAATCGAGCAGAGACACTCCCAACAGCACCCTGCCACCTTCGCCAGTGCTAAGCTTGCCTTGAGTGCATGTGTCATGTTCAAGTCAAGCACTTCGGAGTTGCTGATGGTAATGGGTTTGATTAAGGCTTTTTGCAATTTCTGTTGTGGGGTCTGACTGGGTGATTGATCCAATTGCATTGACTGTGTTTACTTTATATGATTTGCTCATGTAATCATTGATCATTTTAATGATCTCTTGCTTCCTTAAATCACTCATTAAATTCAAGGATAGGGCAATTTAAATCTTTTAAATCTCTATGGTGATATAATTTGATGCACATTTCTGAACCCTACTTGATACAGCAAAATGATTTTAGGCTTTGGCCTCCATTTAATATGGTCTTAGCACTTTTTACTGTAGGGGGCTTAATTTTCCTTTTATCTATAAACTACTGTATTCCAGTATACATAGTTGGAAGTTTAATGCATGGTTCTCTGCTAAAATGTTTACCAGTCCAGTTCTGGGATCCTCCCTTGTGTGTTTTCTTTCTGCTTTAATCACCAAGCAGATGATTTAGATGAGAGAATCAGCTCCTTTGAATCAGATGTGTTATGCTGTCAAGACACACCCAAAGCATTTTTTTTTTCAAATTGTTTCTCATTCTTAAAACTTGTTTTTGGTTCCTGTCTTAACTTAAGAATACAATTTTATGGCATCGCATGGCAGTTTGGAAGTGAATTAAATTCAGTTGAGAGTTTGAATCCCCTCTCTGGGTCAAGCCTCGTCACCATGGGGAGAAAGCTTCTATTCTTTGAATGCAGCAGCCACACCCAAAAGGGTCGGCCATGTTAAGATCACAGTCTTTCATTTTGAAACTGTTACCAGGCAGTTACAAAACACAGTAAAAAAAAAAAAAAAGACAACATACATGGGAGTGTCAGTTTCATCCCCTCTGAAAAAAAAATGAGGCAGAAGAAATCAAAGCAACAAGATAGTTTTGCTAGGGGTATTAATCTAAACAGAGAGATGTTTTTATTTCTTTTTTTAAGTGTTAGAGCTGTGTTTTAAGTAAATGCAGCTCAATGTCTGACAGGGAAAATAAAAGCATCTTACAGTTAAATTTAAATTGTACGCTCATATGTTTTGGATGAAAAAAAAAAGAAAAAAAGAAATGAG